GTCAGGAATTGATAAATTTTAATAGTTTTTGTGGCTGATAAATCGGCTGCGGCTATTTTGTTGTGAGAGAAAAATACTGTTACCATAACTGATAAGCTAGTATGATAAGTTCAAGCGAAAAGACCTTGAAATGGAGTAATTCATGAGAATCAATTTATTTATAAAGAAAAAAATGTACAACATATAAAAAATTCCCGTGTTGCAAAGGGAACTTAGCAATGATCGTATTTGTAAGTGGCACCAAGCACCGGGTCTGTGGCTTGATTAGACGTTCTTTTGAGCGGTTCTTGTATTTCATCCAGCCACTATCTTGACTTAGTACAAAGAAGCTCGTCTTTTTTGCGAGGAGAAGACGCAAGTAATAACAGGATAAGGAGGCATCACCAACCATTGTAAAAGAGCAGGTTAAAGTTTAGTCCTTGTCATATCAAATGTTTGGAGGCTAATTAGAAGAACTAGATACAAGCTAATTATAAAATAATTGCAGAAGCCCTGGGCTAATTTGCGAGATAGATCTATTAAGCCTAATAAACTCATCATTAATAAACGTTTAAACGTTTACTGTAGCACCACATTGTCAAATCATGGACTAATAACACTTAATAAATTCGTCTCGTAAAGTAGCCTCCATCTATGTAATTAGTTTTTTAATTAGCCTATGCTTAATACTTCTAATTGGTATCAAAGATTCCATGTGACAGGGCTAAACTTTAACCACACAAAACAAACACCGAGAAAGTGTTTCATAGCCACGGGGCCTTATCGGTTACCTGGGAGAATTATAATAGTAACCAACGCACGCCGCCGCCACCCATATATGTCTTGCCCAGCGATGGAGCCTCTCGAGAGCTTAGCAAAGAATTCACGGATGGTTGCAAGTTCTGACTTTTGAGGCACAACCATTGCATATGCTTACCATTACATTACATTACATAATCTGAAATTCGGTAGTTTGAGTATTTGCAAATCATGTTTTCTGTGGCTAAATACTCAAACGCAATGGCTCCAAGCCTCCAATCAAGAGACCGGTTGTAACAAATATGCAACTCTGAATATGTTTTAAACAGGACAAGCAAGAAACAATGAAGCAATCAAAATTTCATATGGCCGCCGCGGAAGTACCTGCGGAGCAGTAGTAGGTCCTTACGGATGAAGCGGACGGTTTTGACGTTGACGACGAGCCGCGCGTCGCTCTGCGTGGAGCAGTGGCAGGTCCTTATGAATGAAGCGGCCAGTGCCGACGTTTACAAAGCGTCGCTCTGGTGGATCTCGTATCTACGGAGGAAGGTGATGAAGGACAAGTAAAGGAAGAAGGGGAAGGAGAGGTATGCTCTATGAAGGACAAGTAAAGGAAGGGGAAGGAGAGGCGGCGTGATATACGGGTTTTCTTTATAGGATACGGAATTTGACCGAGGAACGAGCAGAGCGATACAGAGAGGCGATGACGATACCCTTACATATTTTATTTAGGTGTAGAGATATAACATTGGATCAGAGCTAGCTACTCCTACGTACCAACGACAAGCACACAGTCCATACATCACGGAATGAATGATGCCATGCCCGGTCACATACATACACAACAACATGTCTCGCTCTCGTTGTCCCTCTCGCGGAGGCTGCCAGGCTCAGCTACCGAGCTAGCTAGGGACACCACCGGCAGCTCCTTGTCCATGATCGACGGCGACAGTGATTCAGGAGAGGCTGTGAAGTCCCCTCCAACTGTTGGCAGCACGTCCGGCCGGGCCGCAGCAGCCGCCGCCACGCCATGGGCCTGGGAATTTGAGCCCATACATAGCGCTTGGGGCTGCTCTGGGCTCGCAACGAAGAAGGCTGGGCTGCCTCAACAATTCTGAGCCCACGCAGCGGCTGCCTGCTGCCTTTCTAGGATGGCAACGGGGAACGTTTTGCACCCGGCCCACGAAAATTCCCCACTCTCCTTCTCCATCCTCTCGCTCGCGTGGACAATGTCTTTGTCCCATCCCTGCCCTGGATCACAGCCATCAATTCATCAAACGGTATGAAAAAAGCGGGATACGATGGAGCATGAATTTCACGTTATCGATACACAAGATTATTGACATGAATCGATGGCATCAATAATAACAATTGTAAATAAAGAAGATAAAGGAAAATTAGGACTCCATACCATCCATAGCTTGAGAGAGTTTACTCCACCGATCGATCACTAAACCAAGCTGTGACGACTTTGGTAGACGACGACGAGAAAAAAAGCTTTCTTCTTCTTCTTCTTCTTCTTCTTCTTCTTCTTCTTCTTCTTCTTCTTCGTCTTCTTCTCAGGTCAAGGTGGAGCAACCACTCCTTTCTTGAATCCCTTCTTCTTAGGTCGAGGTGGAGCATCCACTGCGCCACCTTGGATCCGGCGGCAGCTTACTTTGTCTTGGGCTCGGGTGGAGTTAGATCCCACGGCGGCTAAGTTATGGCAGCCCTTGATGAGGACGGACACTGAGCATCCAAGGTTTGAGCACCGACGGGAGAAGAAATACAACAATGAACCAATATTTTGGGTTGGCAATTCGCGAGCATAAGTTTTGTGTGGGCCTCCCCTGTTGAGCGTATGTGGTATGCCGATTCATCTGGTCGACTGGCTATCTCCTCGAGGGCTGAGAAAACCCGATGCTTTGAGTTCTTTGGGCAAGTGTAGCATAGCAATTCGAGCATAGGTTGCCCTAGACGCCTGCGTGTAGGATTCAAAAGTTGATGCCGGCGCGCCGGAAGAGGCAAGTTGGCAACGCAAAAAGGCGATGCCAGACAACACTGCGATTTGCAGCGTCTGCACCTCCGCATGCATGCCGAGGACAACATTGTCTGATCAACCCATGGATTAAGCATCAAACGCATCAACCAAAGGTATGTCGTAGTTGTTGTTTCTAATTGTTGTTTGTTTAATTTGTGTCCTTGTTTGTTAATTACTTAATTTGGTTGGTCAATTTATGAATGAGTGAACCTAATAATAAGGTAAAGATTGATCAAAAAGAAAGGGCGACGCTAAAACCAGAGGCATATAATGCAATTTTGCACATTGAAGTTTTGAAATAAGATTAGTTCACATTTGTGCTAACATGCTCTCCACCCTGTTCCCCATCATAATCAAGTAGAATCACTCCATTAGAGAAATCAAGGAGTAGAGCTAGAGAATCGGAGTGGAACTCTGCCAAGCAGGCCTTTAGGTAACTTAATGCGGTGGTATCGTTGATCATTACTCCCTTCATCCTAATATATAATGTGTAACCACTTTTTATTCATGTCCCATAATACAAGACGTGCTCTCTCTAGGCACGCGTACATCGATGCAGTAATACTAGTGGTTAGAGAGAGAATTAAATACGTTTCTTGGTCTTTGAATCAAAGGTGGTTACGTCTTATATATCGGGACGGAGGGAGTATATTAAAAAAAAGATATGCTATCAGTGGTACTATTGATGATGTTTGTGTTGCTTGATGTTGCAGCAAGTGCCTCCTTTTCATTTTAATTAAGTAGGTATGTCTCATGCGCCCCTGCTCTGAGACGTGATCCTTTTGTTTCCCTTGCAGTTGCAGGTAGTAGTAGTTCATTAGTACTCGTAAGCCTAGATTGCCTAGATTACATGGTGCTTGTGGCAGGATGCCTCCCCATGCACCTTTTGTCCGTAGTGACATACATGCCTGCAGGTGATAGTCTGCGATTATGTATCCATAAAGCAAGATATAGCCTGATAGCGCCTCGCCAAATTTGAGTAATTTATTTATTGCGTTGGTTTATTAGAGAGAAAAAGGTTCATGCAATTGATTCGTTTCCTAAAGTTTTCTGTATTCTTTGTGCATTCGTTCCTGAAAAATAGCCTTTTCTTTGCTGAAAAAAAGAAAGAAAGGGAGGAGGTCCATTATATTGACCGTGGTGAACTCCGCCGATATTATCCCTCCCTCCCGCTTGTCTAATCTAATCTATGTATGTATGTAAAGCGTGGACAGAGACAGTGGGAACGAGAGAGATTCCACCGCAATTAACCCTCTGGCCTCTGGGTTATCTTATCCACGTACGCTCCCATTTCCTTGCAGCCTTTAATTTGGTTAGCTGCATGTTACGTGCGGATACGGCATTCAGTCGTGTTTGCCCCCGCACTGCACTGCCACACCTAAGACTTACCAGCTTGTAGAGGGAGTTTAATTATTTAATATATATATACTGTGTGATGATTTATTATTGTACACAGCAAGTGGTAAGTGTCCCCACTTGTCTTTTACGTACGTGATGGCATCCACCGCGCGTCAAGCACCTGTTCGTTGATGCTGAAATTTGGCGTACGTGCAACGGCAGGTTTTCCTGCTCCTGCAACTGCATGCATGGACGACTTTCCGGTCGTCCGAGCTGTCCGGTTTGAGCTGCGTTTAATTTGCTGCCCACGCAAAGGCGGTGAAAGGTCAGCCAGCCGTTTGGTGATCTGGTGGTCATTGCCCACGGGCTACCTAGCTCTCCACAAGTCATTCGCAATCACTGGCTGCCCTTCCATTCTGCTCGGCTCTGCCTGGTTCAGACGAATTGCGGTAGGTTGCCTTAAAAACGATGGAGCCGGCCGAGCTAACAGGCTGTTCGCTCGGTAGGATTCGGTTTACAAGTTACGCCTTATCAGCTAATGAATAGTACTTTTCTCTCACACCAAATCAGTTCATAATACTTTCAGTCATAGCTTGTAAGCCAAACAGGTCCAAACAAACAGGGCGTAACTTGTTTAGGAGTAATAAGTATGAGGAGAGTAGTTGCAGGCGGACGTGCAGAAACGTCGTCTTCCTTTTCCTTGTCACGCTCACGCGGATTTCCATTTCCCTTCATCAACAATATATCCCGTTTCCCACTTTCCCGCGTATGGTTTGGTCGCTCGCCCTCGCCACTCCACTCTCCATTATTAATACTCCCACCGGAAAAAGGAGACGAGGGGACAGATCGAGGCCACTGCTCAGGGCTCACCCCACCACCCTCCGTTCAGGCCCCAGACGGCTACATGGGCCCGATCAATGGCCGCCGTTCCCTGCTTCTCGCCGCGGTCGCTCTCGCCGGAGCCGCCATGGACTCCGTGACGGCTCAGACAGGCAAAGGGCCGGACTACTTCAACCCCAAGAACTTCAACCCGTCCATGGCGATCGTCATGCTCGTGCTCGTCACGGCCTTCTTCCTGCTCGGCTTCTTCTCCATCTACCTCCGCCGATGCGCGGGGCCCCCGCTTGGCCTCAACGCGTCCAGCAGGAGGATGCGCGGCCTCGACCGGGCCGTGCTCGACGCCTTCCCGACCATGGCCTACGCCGACGTCAGGGCGCACAAGGCAAAAGGCAGGCAAGGGCGCTGCGCTCGAGTGCGCCGTCTGCCTCACCGAGTTCGACGACGACGACACGCTCCGGCTCCTGCCCAGGTGCGCCCACGCGTTCCACACCGACTGCATCGACGCCTGGCTCGCGTCGCACGTCACTTGCCCCGTCTGCCGCGCCCTCCTCGACCCCGCCGCGTTGGCTGCTGTTCCGGCCACGGAAGTCATCCCGCCTGTCGTCCCTGCAGCGCCGCCGGACCGGGCGGTGGTCGTGGTCGACGCCGCTTCCGGGGAGACAGAGACAGAGGACCAGAGGGTCAGGAGGGAGGAGGCCGCCGAGCTGATGCGGATTGGCAGCGTCAAGCGCGCGCTGCGAACCAAGTCGGGCCGGCGCCCCGCTCAGTTCCGGCGCTCGCACACCACGGGGCACTCGCCTTCTTCCACCTCGGACTCGGATTCGGAGCGCTACACGCTGAGGCTGCCCGACCACCTTCTCCGGGAAGCCGTCGCGGCGGGCAACCTTCGGCGGTCTGCGAGCGTCCAGACGGGTGGTGGTGGTGGTGACGGGACGACCACGCGCCGCGATGGAAGGAGCGTCCGGCTCGGCAACTCCGGGCGGTGGCCCAATATGTCCCTCCTGGCGCGCACCTTCTCCGCGAGGCTGCCGGTGTGGGGCTCCGCGCGGCGCGGTGAGGCCGACGCGCCAGCCAAGGGTGCCAAGTTCGCCGGCGACGACGGCAAAGCGGCCGTGGAGCAGTGCGACGGCGGAGCTTGCTCGCTTGGCTGACGTGGCATTTTAAGCTCACAGTACACCGAACAGGCTGTTCGTATGGCTGTGTCTGTCGGAAAACGATAGTAAATTTTCAGCCGGAACAGTATTTTTTTCTCGTACAAACCAGTCAATAGTACTTTTTCATGAACCAACAACAAAACGAACCAGCCAACCGAACAGGCTAGTCCCAATAAAAAGTTAGGAATGTGGATTTGTATAATAATATTAATTTAAGAGAACTAATGAACTCTCATCGGCCGGCGTGCAGTCCAGGCAAATATGCTGAGCGACAGACTGGAGCTCGATCCAAATCTTTTCGGCAGCGCGCGGACTTGCCACGGCGGCACGGGCTGCTGGGTGGAACCTTGAACAGAGGGCGCCCCACGATGTACGCCTTGTCCTCTTCCACGGCGCCGGCGGCGGAGGCTGCGGCTCCGGCTCCGGTACCTGCCATGGCACGCGTGTACGTGCTAGCAGCCCACGGCGAGACAAACAGATCGATGTGATAGCTCATCAGCTAGCAGAGAACTGAAGGAAGGCCAGGTTATTACTCACCAACGCTTTTGTGCCGCTCAGCAGTGGGATCAGCGAGCGCGTGCTCGTGGCCGCCGACGGCAGTCATGGGGAGCTTGCCGCCGGCGGTGGCGAGAAGCAGAACGACGAGGTATTTTTTGCTTCAAAAAAATGTATGAGATATTGAATTTTTTTCATGAAAAATATGTATATGTTTTATTTATACATGTTCAGACTAAGAGTCTCTTTGAAATGCATTTTTCTCTCTACTATTTTTATGTGAAAATGAACTAATTTTTGAAAAACTACTATACGGTAATTATACGTTCTATGTAAAGTTCATGCATTCTATAGAACTGTAGAAGGTCTAAAGATTTAAAAACTAGTAATGATGGAATATAGAAATATAAAAAACTAAAATGTTAATGGGCCTGCTTCTTCGAACGGCCTAGGAGTGGCAACTCACAACGGCCGTTAGTGGGCCATCTATAGCGCATGTATTTGGATGCTCCACCATGACACTATCAAACGCACACGCTAAGAGAACGCTATCGCATTTTCAAAACATAACCCGCAATTTGATTGACATGCTGGAGTCATCAATATCATAATTGAACGCTAGTGGAAATTTATTTGCTAGACTAACAGTCAGGCTAGCGTCCGGATGTTCGGCCCTAGGCCCGCGTCCGGACGTAGCTCCCCACACCCCGTGCCGCATGCCCTACCCGCTAGGATTCCACGCCGCTCGCCCCACGTGGGCCCATGCCGCCCAAACATGACCAGCATTGAGAAGAGGAGACATCGAGGCGAGGCAGTAGAAGACGAGGAGGGAGATGCAACACCCAATCTACTTTTGAAATATCCAAATGAAACATTAGCAACATACGTTTGAAACAGTTGAAACACTTACAACATGCATCTGAAACAGTTGTAAAAACACATAAAAACGCTTGAAAAGCCATTGCAAAATATATGCAACATCAGATAAAACACATGAAACATATGTATGAAACAAATGCAACATCTAGATAAACACACTTGCAACATACGTCTGAAAAAAACAGATGAAACATTTAGAGCAGACGCTTGCAACATATATGTACAGTGCAATATATGCAACATCTCGATCTAGTTTTGCAACATTATATGAAACACTTGCAACATACCTCTGAAACCTTTGAAACATACGCTTGTAACATGCGCTTTCAAGCGCAACATCTACTTGCAGCCTCGACGAGAAGATTCAGAGGAGGCAGAGACGATCATGGAGGTAGACGAGCAGCCCCGTGAGAGGAGCACATGGCTACCCATGAATCTTGTTGAACTCATCGTCTATATGATTATGAAAAAAAGTCACTGCCTATATCTATATGTGTATATTATCACGAGTCTAGAAGGGATCTGTCTCTCCCAGCAGAATGGCCAGCCACACAAATGTATATATATGGACATATGGTCATATAGACACAACACGTCATTTGCTTGCATTGGTAAACCTAACTTTGTGTGTGTCGGGATTTATTAGTGAAAGACCAAATGAAAGTAAATACCTCTGGTCACACTGTTTGACAATCACACATTAGACATGTCTTGGTCTTCGAGTTTTTAACTTTAGCCGCCATTTTCTCTTATTGCATCACCGTTATAATATCTAGTAAGCATGAGATTTTTGGACAAGGATCAGCATCTCCAGGGTAAAAGCTTGAGAAACCAAGTCAAAGCACTGCAAACCGAGGACCCTATTAGTAATCGAGTGTTGATAATTAAGAAGATGTGAGATTGTGGGAAGAGAGGTTGGGAGGAGATCGGATCCTTCCTTTTAGATCTAACGGTTCAAAAATTTGACAATATCAACAGTGGTGGATGCAGAAAACTATTGTAGGAGAGGCTGAACATAATAGGGTACCAAACCAATCTAAATTTATTGCGTCTTATACTTTGAAACACTATACTCTATACTCTAGACGATCAAAATCACCAAACCATGTTCTTCAAAGCAATCTCCACTCAACATTTTGCTATTTATACACAAAGCGGCGGATATGAAGGAGATGGTTATTAGTGCATGGCAGAATAACTTCCACAATAATTCGATCAGCTAATACAAGCAAATTCACAACCTTGATCTACTAAATATACAGTGATCTCACAAAACTGTATGATGCCTAGGTTAGTTCAGCGTTTGTTTCCAATTTCCAAAAGAAAGGAAAAAAAAGAAGAACACCATTTATGTATTATGTAGCCATTGATTAGGCACAAATTGCTGATTGTAAATTCCACGTCCGGCAAGCTAGCGAATCGGATATTTGCTAATTAGAAATTTTTAACTAAAGTTGGTTAACATGGCATTGGAAAACCCCGCGTATTAGTCTCTTTTAAATCCTTCTCTTTTGTTTTTTTAATTTAATGGTGGCTAGAACTTTGCAATAACTAGAGGATATTCGTGCAGTGCAGCGGTACTTTTTTCATAAATAAAGCTATTGCATATATGAGTTCACCTACATGTTCATATATATATATCGGTTTTGGTCAAAACCAAGTAAAGTAATAGAAGAATCCAACAAAAAAATAATAGAATATTATATTCAATTATAAGATGGTGGAATGTCAAAATAGATAGCATGACGCGGATGCCCTGTCTTTTTATAGATTAAAATTAGTAATTGCACTTAGTTGAGGACAACATAGATATCTTTTACACATATAGTTGGGGATGATGTGGATAGTTTGCCCAAAGAGATTGAAAGTTAGTTGGGAGATGGGGTAATGGGATGACGTGGCATTTAGTGGGGGGTGATGTGGATAACTTGCATGTTGGGATTGAAAGTTACTGGGTGAATGATATAGCATTTAGTAGAGGATGACGAGGACAGCTTGCCTCTTGATATTGGAAGCAGTGAGGTTTTCTATATATATATATATATATATATATATATATATATATATATATATATATGCAACTTGTTAGGTCAGAAGCAATACACTGACAAGCTTTTTCCTGAATTAGCAACAATAATCCATTTCATAGGGAAGGTTCCAGCTTGGTTATGAATACCTTTTTTTTATTAAGCATGACGGTGTCCATGCCAACCTTGAGGGATCTGGCATGTTTTGTTCGGATGCATCAAGAACTGATGATATTATTTCCTCAGCGTAGCGAGATGAAGTATATATATGGTGGCAAACACAACTATTAAAATGTACTCCTTCTGTTCTAAATTCTAAGACATTTTCGCTTTTTTAAATACATTAGTTTTTCTATGTATCTAGACATGGTCTATATCTAAATACATAGAAAAACTATTTATCTAGAAAAGCCAAATTAAACATTTTTATAATTTAGAATGGATGGAGTACTAAATAGTTGTTATACAAAGAGAAAATAAGCTTGAAACAGGAAACTTCTCCTCTGTGTCTATGTACAACAGAAACGACAGATTCTTCATGGCAAAGTGAACACGACATTTTGCTTCTAGGCTGCAACTGTTCATTTGCCATGCAAGTCTAACAAGATAGAGTCTAGGAGCCCTTCTTCATGATCTATATATGCATGACTAGGAACTATCTCTATATATAGGTAATTTGGATGAAGCAAAGGGAGAACATGTGTGATCTAGAGACTCACAAACAACAAGGAGATAGACTTTGTCTTTATTAATAGTTTCCGGTTGATATATTGGAGGAAAACAACATGCTACAATGCAGCGTGGGAGGACGATGGTGCTACAACAGCGAGTGGATGGTTGCATTACTGGAGAAAGTCACACCTAGTTTTCAAATACTACACACCTAGATTTTGCATGCAAGGGTTAAGAAAAAAACAACTATGATGAAATAGGTTCAGTGGTACTATAAAGGTTGGTTCAAACACCTTAGGTCGCCACAACTCACAAATTTTACTGGTAGGGCAATTAGACAGAAGCGATGATGGAGTGTCCACCAGAGGTAAAGGCTTCGTTGTTGTTGCTGGTCCTGAGGTTATTTCTCGTAACCCAAGGAAGATCGATGTACCAGCCGGATGACGTTGACATCTTTCGTAATGTGGATAATCAGTCGATGGACGACATACTAATCCTGAAACGTTGCTGGGAGGGCGGGACACCAAAGTATTCATGTAGCCAGGCTAAAACTTGTTCCTGGCTATAATCCAGCGGTGAATTCAATTGTGTGTCAAAGACCTGGAACTCGCTAAGGTCTACCCCGCTGTCCCCAAATCTGATTTCACCGTTGCCATAGTAAATTCTGAAAGGGACTAAATCGGTCGACATTCCTGGTCGCATCATGTAAAATATTGTGTCAGTTAAATGCAGTACTATACAATAGACAATGCTAAACCATAACTACGTTACAAGAAAAACTAGTCTTAAACTACCCCTAACCCTGAAACTAACTCTAATCAACAACTAACACTAACACTAAAACTAACCCTAATCTACGACTACAAACCAAATATACTAATTAATCTAACGTAAGCAAATCTGACTAAACAAACTAAACTAACA